AGGTTTTTGACAGATGATTGTATAGAGTTACGTAAAGGCAGCTGAATTGCAGCATAATTCAAACAATTAGAGAAACTCGTTTGGTTTTACTACAGGACTATATCAATTTTCCTAGAAATTCCCTAATTGTTACCTTTCAAACGAACTACTACAGGTTATTATAACGAAGAGAACAAAATTTGGAAAAAATCGTCATTAAAGGACAATAACTTCAAAACGGATTCTACCGACGATTTCAGTAATGATGACTTAAGTTAAGATCTTGTCATGATGATCATTTCGCTTTTTAACAACTCTATCTTTCTATTAAAGTTTTTTAGGTAAGATATTAGGAAAAAACACAACAAAATAGTAAAATTTTACATTTAAGGTCAATTACTCCTACAAGAAGTCGTCTGACAGCTTTTGTGACTTCGACTGCAGGTATATTTCAACATTCTGAACATTTTTGCTTCCGTCAGATTTTATCTATTCATTGCGGTTTTCAAGATAATAGACATATCTTGCATTTCACCTCTATGTTCTTGTGTTAGCCATGTCGGCCGTGTTAATTGGCAAGCGGGATCATCGGAAACATTTTTTAAGCGTAATTTCCAAATAATAAAGTTTGGTCAAATTTGGCCCACAAGTTTCAGAGGAGAGGATTTTTGTAATAGTTAATGACGATGAACGAAGGAAGATGAACGACGGACGACGGACAATGGATTCCAAGTGACGAAAAAAGCTCACTTGGCTCTTTGGACAAGGTGGGCTAAACAAAAGGAATGAGCTATATTGTGATTAAACACGCCTGCATCTTTCTCAATCCACCATATTTTGCAGTCCGGGAACGAATCAGATCGGCCACAACATTTGGAAAAATAAGCAATGACAACGTATACCATGAATTTTTTTTATGGTTATTTTTTGTCAATAAATATACCAAATTAAAGCTTCTACCTTTTATATCCAATATAATGAGTCCTACTTCTGGGGGTTGCATTTTTTGGTGTTTAATTTTTGTGTTATCGCATATTTTATTGGGATTTTTTTTCTGTCAACTATTAATGTCAAGTTCGACATTTCTACAACAAATTATAGGATCATATCCACAACTGATCTATTACAATGAGTAATTTATGATATTCCAGTACCACATCTGACACAACTGTTGATGGCACAACGACTAAATATACAGGGCCAATATGCATAAAACATCTTAAATTAAGTGTTTCTTAAGCTTATATTTCACTAAGAATTTCCTTAGTAAAGTGAAATTCTTAAGTCGTATGAATAAAATTACTTAAGTCTTCAAGTGATTAAGGAGATCTGTTCTACTGGAAATACTATTCTACAATATTTCTTCCATTGGAAACTATTTTCACGAAGGACATTCTATTTAATAACATAGCACTTGACATTATATTGCATATCTAGTTTAAGTGTGGTAAGTGGGAGACAGCATCTGTGAATTGAATATTCGAAAACATTCTGTTCTACATCGTCTTTATATTTGTCAGTTTATCTACAGCTTCTCTCTTTTGCTGAACTCGTATACCGCGTTTTCCACTTGCACCATACTGATGTTGTCGACATGAGGAAAGTTTGTCTTTCAACTGAAATAGCCCAATGCGACGGACAGGACAACGATGTGCAGCTTTCACTTACTTCTTCAACTTAGAATGACTGCCTCCTAGTTTATTGGTATATAATGTCCACTGTCTTTTGTTCTTCTGTCCTGTATAGTGTATCCACAAATGTGTACGAATACTCTGTAGCATAGACAATCAGTTAGACGTTATCAATGTGAAGGGTGGTGTATGTCATAACGTAAGACTGCATGAGCAGACGGTTCAGTTATAGAATTACGCTGACGTCGTATCCGCTTAGAGGATTAGGTGGTCGTCTAACGACTGCACATGGCAATTGCGACCTATTTATGTACATTTAAGAGAAATACTTTAATACTTTGTTAAACGTCACCAGTGTCTGAGCAGAAAGTTGATGAACCAGGGGTATGTCAAAGAACGTCTCGTCCTTTTTCTAAAAAAGTTCATCGGAAGGTACCAAGACCTTGTTGATAAATATTCCGTATCAACTTCACAAACAATACATGATGGTCTTGAAGTATAGATTCTGCATACTGACGTTGTTTATCATCTTAACAACGTGTAATATTGTTCTTTCATTTGTCTTTGTTCTATTATTAATATTACTTTTACTGTTTGGTTTGTTTTCTGTGATATCCATTTGACGTGGCTAGGTACTTATACATCCCGTCAATGTGTTTGTATTATCTTTAATTTTTACTGGTGTGTTTTGTATATGCGACTTTTTGTGTTTCTGTGGTTCTTATAACGTGACTCTGTACTTTAAAAGATCCCGTCATTATGTTATTGTTCTATTATATGTCATTATGTTATTGTTCTATTATAAATTTGAAAATACTTTGAACGACAAACGACAAATTTATTTTACTCGCGTAGTGGTATTTACCATATGTGGATTCTTAAGGGTTCTGAAGAACTTCTGGACAATTATAAATCTCGGTCTATTTCTGAAATTAATTCTAACATAACTTTTGATTTTTTAACCCTGTATACCAACATTCCCCATGTGAAATTATAAAATTGTTTTGAATAGACATTGAATGACAAACTTTTTTCTTATGTGACGTTTACATTTTCTGACGTCAGACACGCGAAGCAATGAATGTGGGTCTTAATTTGATAGATGCTTTTGTGCTTTTTTTGTAAATAATTGTTTGTTTTGATATTGTAACACAGTGATGACTGCTGTACCCATATTTTGACTATTTTATTTATAATGTCTGTTTTGTTCACGCATCGTTGTAAATATAACGAAATTTGATAAGACTGTCGTACAAGTGAGAGGTTTAGCGCTATAAAACCAGGTTCAATCCACCATTTTCTACATTTGAAAATGCCTGTACCAAGTCAGGAATATGACAGTTGTTGTCCATTCGTTTGATGTGTTTTGTCATTTGATTTTGCCATGTGATTAGGGACTTTCCGATTGAATTTTCCTCGGAGTTCAGTATTTTTGTGATTTTACTTTTTTTTTTTATATATTTGTACAAATACTACAGATACAAGTGGACGTGGCCGGGTACTTATACATCCAAACAGACTTTTATCATTTTAGACATTTTACAAGTATGAGTAAGTAGATAATTTGTGATGAAAAGGTATCACAAAATGTTTACCAACTCATAGTCTATTTTAAACATTCATTACCTCTTTAAAAATGTTATATCATAATTATTTTTCCATTTAAATCTTTGATGTACATATTTAAATATCGTCAACTCCATTCTTAAAAAAGTTTTTAAACATCAAAAGGCAATTTATTTCATTTATTTGTTTACAATTTCATTTCATTAAATTGTGTATTTAAACCACAAAAAGAGCATAGTTTTCAACTGAAACCACACAAGATTAAGATTTTGTTTTACTATTTCTTTTTTAATAAAATTTTCATTTGAAACAAATTTCTTATCATCTTTTTTTTAAATTGAAAAGGGTTCAGTACTATTTTGTACGTATTTCCGAAGAATTCACTTTTGTCTTTGAGAGTTCCAGATGAAGGTAAATCCAGAAAAGCGCTTTGGACGCATGAAATTTAAAACGTGTTTTATTTATTTTTTTCACCATATCATTAATGCTTAAAATGACTAAAAACTTAAATTCACATAAATCTTTGAAAAAATTAACAATTATTCAAAAACTGTCGAGAGGGATCATACCAAAATTGTATTGAAAGTATTTACATAAATTGCCTTTTAGATAAAGTAAATCTTTTTCAATAGAAACTATAGAATTGATTTATATACTTGTTTTTTCTGTGTGTGTTTGTGTAAAACTGATAGCCGAATTTCTGTTTCAAAATATATTCTATGTTTTTCCGTCCTGTATATGTATGACATATTTACCACTGGATTTATACCAACAAACAATTAACCATATACATTTTGTAAGCAGTCATCCCATTAATCAATCAATAACTGTTATTCTGACAATGACGTGAGTTTTCCACATGATAATCTTGTTTATCTAATTGTAGTGGAATTAGTCGAAGTGAAATCATGTAAATGTAATATATATAATGATAATATAGTTAAATGTTGTATTTAAACTGTAATACTGGGTTCAATGGCGATTATACTATGCGCCTCATGTTATGCAGTTTGCTATACACGTGTAATAGTACAATATGATTTGTGACGAATTCGACATTGCAGTCTCTGTAATAATTATTTCTTCTAATCAATCAAACTGTTAGTAAATATTCGTAGGACATCAAACTGTGAAACTATTTTGTGTCGATATGCTCATTATCGTCACTGTGTTAAACTTTAACATCTGTTACAAATCGTGAGGTCAGATTTGTTAAAGGGTCCTGGTGAATGTAATCTTAGTGTAATGTCAGCAAACTAGATTCAATAATAAATTTTGTTCACGGAACCATAGGTACTAAAAAATACTGTGTAAACGTACTATATTTATTATGAATATTTTTACACTCAATAAAATGAAAATGTAGTTTCTGTACTAAATAAAACATATTAAATTGTTTGGCCTTTGGAAATCACTCAACTATCTGAAAAATAATTTTGCTTCAGGACTTTGTCAGGAACCGGTTCTTTCGTGGAAAGTACACAACTGACAAGCCACTATGCCCAACTTGAACAAGACAACTGATATAAGAATGACAAAGCGAAGCTTCATCATTCCGCGTGACGGTGGGCTACAATGTTTTAAGGTGTTGAGTTGAGATTGGAGATGTTAAATGAAAAATGCTTAGAAAATGAATGAAAATTATGAATGATAAGTGAAATATTTCAAAAGGTGCCTAGAAACTCTGAAGAAATAGCGATTAGAAATTAGATGAGTCTGAGAGACCCGCAAAGTATTTAGAATGAAGAGTCCCTCCGGGATCACCTTCAATAAGTCAACGAATAACACAATGATAAGGCAAATGAAAGAAACAAAATATACATATAAAGCAAACGTGCAGTTCTTGTGTCCATAAATTCAAAACTGACTATAATATAATCTATGATAAACAGACTTAGCTAGTTGCTGTTGTGCATGTTTTATAGAGGTTGGGTGAGTGCGAATATAACGCACATAGCAATCTGAAGACCAACGGCCTAACGTTTTTATCACGTGATCCTCTATTTTAGCTTGACCAGCTACGGTTCCAGGACCTATTCTAAATAAGTGACCTGAAAAGTTTTTAGGATCATAACCGCATGACTCTGAAACATGTCCGATTTTTGTTATAAAAAATTTTCTTTCCATGGCTAAATTGCCAATTGATAAGACGATATACACGTTTTCCTGATCTCTAAATATCTTTTTAAAACACGATAAGGACAAATATGACTATTAATTTGATGTAACTGAATATCTATACCCTTACAAAATGAATCAGTTTTTGACTGTTTTAAGTGTAGGTTAGTAACATTGTCTGTGAATGAAATATCTGATATACATAAATTAATTGCAGGTTTAAATTGTTCAGATTTGATAACAGTTATTTCGCAGCATCGGAGGAAGCCAAAGAAAGAAATCACGCTAGCTGTTTCTATCATGAAGTCAATGAACTTTGAAAAAAACTCCTTTTTGTAATCTCTTTATAATTTTTTCAAGAATATCAAAGTGATTGGTAGCCTTACTCTCTTGTTTTGATTTTGAGATCGTTTGACAGAATTTAAGATCAATGTAAGCTATGGAAATAGTATGCCGTTATACAGTTCTAAGGGATCACTACAATTTTTCTTTTAACAGTTGTACCTTATTCCACATAGATAAAGTTTAAGGGTTGAATAATGAAGTTTCAGAACTGTTTGACAATGGGCAACACAATATATGAGAATTTCTTCCGAAACTGGGCATACTGGGCCAAGTTATTTGTAAATGTCACATTATTTAACAGTAAAAATCTCTAAAAATGCATGAAACCAATATCATACACGTCCTTGGTCCTTTTAGATATAGACGTCGTCCATAGTTGTTTGACAGTTTGTTTTAACACCAAATTACATCTGAGATATTGGGACACGGTTCCGGAAGAGAGTCTGCATCCGGTGCCATGGTTCTGAATCGTTGTATCTGAAATCGAGATAAGGCATCACTTATATCGTTATGTAAACCTGGCACGTGTTTTGCACTAAAAAAGGAGTTGTTTGTACATGCGCACCATGTTAATTTTTCCATGAACTTCATAAAATACAAACATTTTGATCTGCCTTTCCTTATAATTTCGACTGTAGACATATTATCAGACCAAAATAACCCTTTTTTGTTTTCCATGAGACACCCCATAAAACAGCTGCCACAACGATTGGATACAATTCAAGAAATGCCATTGAATGTTTACTGTTTGTGATCTTTTTTATTTCGGTCGGCCATGACGAATAAAACCACTTTCCACCAAAATATTCATTAAAACCTATAGTTGACGATGCATTCGTGAATAATTCCATATCGTAATTAGATATAAATGTAGAATTATGATACATATTAATTCCATTCCAATTCTTTAGGAATCGTAACCAAAAATCGAGATCTATCCGACATTTTTTATTTAAACGCACATAATGATGTAATTCTTTCGCTTTGGTTGATAAATTGATTAGATAAGACACAAATGACCTGCCCGGTAATATAACTCTTGATGCAAAATTTAAATGCCCAAGGAGCTGTAGAACTTCTCTCTTAAAGCAAGAGGATCTGACACTTATACTTGAAATAAACTCACAAATTCGATCAACTTTTTCCTGAGGTAAACGGGCTTCAATTTTTTGTGAATGTAGGATGATGCCAAGATATTCAAGACACGTTGCAGGGCCAACAGTTTTGTGCATTGCTATTGGAACATTTAAGCGTTTAAAAATCATAATCATTAATGCCATTGATCCCTCTCCGTCTGCGTGTGGCGGATCGATAGTTAAAAAATCGTCTAACAGGTGTAAAATGTTATTGACCTTGTAATTGTTTTTGGCAATATAACATATTGCTTGTGACAAAGTATCGAATGTAATGGTACTAGATCGGCAACCGAAAGTTAATCGCACATAGAAATAATATGTTTCCTCCTATTTAATGCAATTATTACGACATTCAAGGGTTGGTAAACTAGTCACAGATACCTTAGTGTCAAAACCATATTTTAAACCATTGCATAAGTTAAATACAAAAGATGTGTCACTGTGATTTTTAAGTTCATTTTGTAATACGTCTACGTGAATCGGAGTAGTAGCTTGTAGGGCAAAGTTAATATTTGATAGTCATTTTTCGGAACCGAAATTCTGCTTTGGTGTAGGAGTACCAGTCTTAGCAACAGTGTTTTTAAATGTGTGGTTCTCTCTATTTTTCTCGGTATCGTTTTGTGTAGATTGACGATGACAGGCGGTTAAGCTATGACCAAAGTTACGACAATTAGAGAACATGTGTGAGAAGAGGCAACGACCGTCTTTATTACAGCCAGACATACTATTGAAATTATTGCAAATTTCTTTCCCGTTGTGGTAAAAACGCTTCCTACCACGAATATCGGAATTACCGCCATTTCTCATCAGATGTGGGGTAGATACGCTTTTCTCTGATAATACAGTGGACAGAATTTATTATCATGGTCAACCATGTGACAAAGCTTGCAAATATTGATTTCAACGCCCGCACCTATCAAAATAATTAGGTCGCGATCCCTTTTGCTCCAATCGACTTTGATTTGTTTTTCATGAAGTAGTGTCGCGGACTTTGCTGAGAATAATTTATGGTAGTCGTAGAACTTCTGACCATAAAAATTACTCTATTATATCCTCGTAGGCGTCTAATTCAAATCTCCTACCTGGAAAAGCAGATGTCATTACACGCTTGAATTTTCCGAAGGCCTTGATAAATTCCTGGATTGTTAGTTGTTGATTTAAGCGCGGGTCTGGCTTATTCCCTACATTATTCCCATACTGTCTGTCAAAATGGTATGTGATTGGGGACTCTCGAAACAAGGAATAAGGAGAAAAGCTAAGTTAATGTCCTTACCGTGTATTATTTGTTTCTGCAAAGCTGTAGAAACTATGTCGACATTAGGAAAACCATCAGAACGAACTCCTGTTCTATTAAATCCATGAGGTAACGCATCCGGTGTGTTTAGTATCGACGGTCCGGTTTTACTGGAATCGTACCATTGTTGTACATTATACGGTTTGTTAGTATTATAGAGCTTCTCTGTCATCAGGGTATCGACGAATTTCTGAAGGCCATTTACGCATTGTGACATAGTGTTAAAAGCAGCCACCAATATATTAATTAGTGTTAACATTTTCCGTAGCAGAAGAAGTATTGTCAATGCTTTCACGGCTTTGTGTCTCTGTTGAAGCAGTTTGCGTATCAGATGGAAAACTGTCTGCTGCACTTAAAGTATTTTCGATGTCTCCTACGCGAGCATCACTGTTTTTGTTACCAATGTTTTCTGTATACAACAAGAGTTTTAACAACGTTTAATGTGAAGTTTGTAGGCACTTTGAAACTAATTTTTGACAGTTCATCCACCATTTCGGTTTTTGTTTTCTCAGAATTAGTTTTTGTCGCAACCGTTTCAGTACTATATGGTTGGAAACGGGATTTTCGTTTCGTCGGATTTAATTTGTTTTACTTGGAGGCATAACTTATATCTTTGTAAACAGTGTTTTGAGAATAAGATTTAAAAGCTGTTGCCACAAAGAGCAATTACTAAGACTGTTATTTAACTTGTTTCTCACGTGACACATTAATTATAAAACTGGAAGTACGCAACTTTATCTAACCTATATGTTTTTGTGACCTCTTAACCGATATTTAATGTCGAGTAACGGATTATGCAGAAACGGGTTAAGAAAAGTCAACAACACCATTAAACAGCAGTGAATAATCAACTCATCTATAAACCATGATTATACAATTCTATAATCAACCAAAATACCATGCCAATCTACAACCCCACCCCACCCTCAAATGAAAAGAATTTGTGCGAGCAAACCGATTTTCATAGCCTTTTCAGATGTTAAACATTATGCATTTGTACAAAATAACATTTAAGGTTATATACATATATTAAGTAAGCACGTACAAATAAATCAAAAGAAAAAAAATAGCATGATTGTCATGCGTGCATACATAGTGAACACTTTTCGGAATACACATAAGTGAGTTTGAGACTAAAGGGTATGATGTTATTAATCAAATATCCACTGCTATCTCTAATTTGTTGATTATAATATTTAGCTATAAAAAAAAAAAAATTATTTCTGAAATTATTATTTACTGATTTATTGGAAGCAAACACATTCTTTTTTCTGCAAAACCGCATACTTCCGGTACTTTTTGATTTAATTTAAGGTACCTTATAATTAAGGATAATCTGAGGAGCTATCTTAGTTTTAGTAGTTTCATACATACCACATGTATGGCGTGACTTAAAACGACGAAAATTTTACTAAGGCAATATTTAGTTTAACATGCTTTATGCATACCACTAAGTTTAGTATGGAGGAGTTTCCTTAACTTAAGTGTTTGCTAAGGAAACTTATGACTTCAGAAGCTTTATGCATACGGGCCAAGATTTTGTTAACATGAACTCAGCTTAACAAGGTAAACTACGCGAATCATAGGGGAAAACAATTGTATATGACTGTGTATGGACTACGAATGCATTCCTAAAGTAAAATAAAAATATACACGACGAGAAACAAAATAGAATATAAAGCTTGCAGTAAAACAACTCTTTGTGTATGATGTATTTAAACTAACCTTTATATCATTGCTGCTATTCCGTCGTGTAAAATAAAATTCATACACTAATTTATTTGTCACATGTGGTGTTCAAGGTATTTCGCTTTTCCTAATCATCGTAGGAAACGTTTGCCTTCGTTTGTAGTTTTATAATACACTTTCAATACGTTCCAACTTATGATCATAAAACGTCAACACGAAATTGAAATTATTCTGACTAAAATCTAGAGTACAGTTAGGCGCGAAAAAACGCGAGACAAAACTGAAAAACCCATGACAAATAAGCAAAAGACGACACGAAATGACGAATAAGTCCACAAAACACAACATTAAACAATAAAGACTTGGCAACACGAGGTAAACCAAAAAATTCGGATTTTAATAGGTGCTTTGGAAGGGTAAGCAAATACTGCTCTTCTAGTAGCACTCACTAGCTTTGTGTAGTAGAGAGCTCGTTTTAATTCTGTCCTATCCCGTATTTTTGTTAATTCCTATTCATTTTTCTGTTTAATTAATCACAGATACAGTTAAGATTTCCTCACATCTGAACTTAAATCTAGAAAATGACAAGGACATTCGGTTAAGAACAAAAATTTTCGACAAATTGGATGAGCACAGCATTTTTTTTAGAGTCATCACCGAATTTGTACTCACCATTAGCACAAGACGGATACCTCATGTGGAATCTGCTCACCTGAGATCATCCCCATTTTTTGGTGGAGTTCAAGTTTAGAACTCTTTAGTTTTCTATATAGTGTTCTGAAGATTTATTTGTCTTTCCGTCGTTTATTTGATTATTGCCATGACTTCTCAATTTAAGTTTTGAATGTAATCTTGTAATCTTGCTGCCAATTTTTTCTCATTTTATTATACCGGGGCTTTTATAGCTTATTTTTTGTGAATATTAATTCAAATAATGAATAAAAACATTCAAACAAGTATTTATTCAAAAACTTTATTTGGTGTATGTCATTGGTCCTTGTTATAGATTCGAAATTAGCTTTATTGGCCACGAGACTTGAAGAGTCGATGTCAAATACAGCTTATGGAGAATCTATAACAGGGCCAATACAGAAACTTCAAGTTTATAACACTTTTATTAAATGATTCAGAATCTGATTCAACAAACCTACTGTGAAGTAGTTGCAGGAGTTCGTGCTTGAACTGTCGCAGTCTAGACGAATATTTTGTCAACATTGATGAAATATCTGATTTCTCGTCCATGTACTATGTTAATTCAATTTATTTTATCTGGCAAGTATGAAGTAGCATGGAAGATAAATTAGACTTTTTAACCATTCATACTCATAATCATCTGCGTTCTAATGATTGGTCGACGAAAAGTAACATTGATAATATTTTAAAGTTTCACAACCGAAAGGCTGGATATATTTCCGTTTCAAATCGTTATACTGTGAAAGTACTTTTATTCGTGGGATACCAATTTTCGTGGTTTTCTAGGAAGGCTTTATCCACGAATTTAAGTGTCCAACGAAATAAATCAACTCTTGTTTAAAGCAAGACATGAAAAGATCCACTGTAGGTTTGACTACATGGATACGGGCTTATAATATAAAGAAACAAATCAACAAACCTTCTATGAAGTAACTTATGCAGTGGCGTAGCACCAGTGTAGCATGTACAACTTTAGATAGGATTTTAATCTTAAAATAACCTAAGTTGTACGACTGTTAACCTTTTTTATTCTCATGAAAAAATAGTTTTGAAAGATGAAAGTCAGACTTCCGGTGAAGATATACGATGATGAAGTGTTCATTTTAACTCTTTAAAATTCTCAATAAAAATGATTAGTGTCAACACTTCTGATTACACGTCTGCATCAATTAAAATGTTTACTTTGCAATTTCCTTCAATGAGACAACTTGTATTTATAGATAAATCAGATTATTTCTGAAAGTAATTATTCTATTAAAAATTTGATGAATGTTGTTCGAACGAAAGACAAACATGTAAGTGAAAATGATACCATATGATTATTTTTAAGAATGTTTGTTTCTAAATTGTCCATCCGACTGTTTTTCCCAGAAAACTAAAATCCACGAATTTAAGAATCCACGAACATGTAACTTTTGCTTAACGAAAATTGATACCCACGAATTAAAGTACTTTCACAGTATACCACGGAACATGATTTAAACTGCTTTGTATGTCATTGTTAGTTACAAAATTTAATAAAGATATATTTAATGTATAAGATACGTAAAACGCTAGGTGAAGCGAAAACGTCCCGTATAAACCTACGGGTTAGTTCAGATTTTTTCTGTATTGGACCGGGCAAAACGATATATTGATATCAAATGGACAACGTTATCAGTATTGCACATGCTGATTTGTACGTTTTAGGGCTTTTTTGATCACATCATTTAACAATACATTATAACTAATTGGAATAATCTGAATGATTCTGTCCAGTATATACGACACCTAATTATTAATTCAAAAAGTCCGAAGGTGTTTATGTGCTTATTAATTCCATTGAACACTTAATATATACAATGATTTTTAAACGTTTGTTTTTCAAAAGTATTTAGTGGAATTAATAAACACTATCTTCGACATTCTTCTTATCGATTGGTTTACTTCAGCAGAAAAATGGATTTTTTGTGTAACTAACTGGCTTGAATTTATTTGAATACCAGTTTCCCGAGCAAAAATGTAATATAGTTCGAGGCAACAGTAGTTTACAAATGCCCAAATCTTATAAATCAATTAAGAAGACACAAATCAAGGTGATACAAAGGAATGGAATCGCATCAACTCCAAAATGAGCAAGTTCGACTGCATTGAGAAGGTAGGCGTTATTTGCTCTATGAATCCAAATACACACGCAATTTTTATGATTGAAGTTTCGACATTTAAAACAAGTAAACTGTAAAATGTAACAAAAACATTACGTGGACCGAACTTATGCATATGTTTGTCTCTGGAACGACATAATACTATTGAATGAAACAAATAATAAAACCTGATATAGTTTGTTAAGTGTATTCTAATTGAAATAGTTTCTTTATATTTTTTAAAATCAAATGATACAAATTATTGATTGTCATTAGAAACACATGTAAGGTAAAATTTGATGCATGTTTTACATGAGACGCTAAAAAGCAACTGAAAGAATTGAACACAAAGAATGTCAATCTCAGTATTTTCCTGGTTGATCATAATATTGGCTGATATTATGTATACCGAGAAAGTTTCTTACAAAACATGAAATATTAATGAAGCTGTGGTGTCTTCCGCTATCTTGGATTTTGAAATAGCAGATAACAATGATCGGTCTAGATCTTTAATGAAATGCGCAAATGTTGAGAGTAGTCTGAATTCATGTGTAAGACTTTTCATGTTTATATAGAAAACTATGTGTTGTATCATATTTTACGGCTGTATTTTACAAAGAAAAAACATATTTTTGTTTGATTCATTTTTTTTTTCCAACTTTGTCAAATAAGGGGAGATAACTCAGATAAAGTCACTTTTATAATAGAGTGTGTCCAATTTTTTCTATTTTTTATCTAAAAGCATATTATCAGAGCTGCCTTCTCATATTTAATCTTAAAATTCTATAGTGTAGTTTTCTTTTTATCACACAAAATTGTGTTTTCCATGCATAATTTATGCAAAATCTGACAATTTTGCATAACATGTAACGTGAAAAAAAGGCCTGGTGACCAATACTTTTTATTATATTTTTGAAAAAAGCATGGTTTCAACTACATTTTTACAAATTATCTGAAATTCCTATGGAGTTTAATTATGACCCCCAATCTACCTTTAATTACTTTACAGTAAATAATGAATTCATGTTTAGTCCTGTATTGTATTGGATACCTAAACTACATAAGTGTCCTTACAAACAAGGGTATATTGCTGGGTCTTCAAAGGGCTCCACGAAACCTCTTTCTAAATTATTAACATCTATTTTATCTGCAA